TAGATGAAAGTTCTTCAGAATTCGTCTTTGTAAAGATTTGGTTATGACCACTCTTTCATTATAAAGTAATACGTGATTACAAATTGAAAAACACTCCGCTAGATTTCTTTCTTTTTCTTCTATTTTTCTCTTTGTACTTCTCTTCTGATTTCCAATAAGGTCACTGGTAATTCCCTCACTGCATTGTTTAGAACTTTACTAATTTCGTCTTCGGCTCGCAAAGCCGCTATTACCGAGTTTTCCAGAGATTCGCATTTCACAGTTACCAATCTAGATAATCCATCCGCATAACCAATTTTCTTCGACGGTAGGAACTCTAGTTTGAAATTATAATTCAATAATGTAGTTCCCCATCCCAGAAGTCTGTTGGCTGTGTAAATTGGAAGTGCTTTTTTGGATCCGAATATAGTGAGAAGAGGTTTATGGTCAGTTTGAAGAGTAAACTCTCTTCCATATATGTATCTGTGGAAGCAAGTTATGGCGAATATTATGCCTAATGTTTCTTTCTCAATTTGCGAATAATTCCTCTCTGCTGGTAACAACGATCTAGATGCGTGCGCTATAGGTTTCCTTGTGCCATCCTACATCTTGTGTAATATACAAGCTCCCACTCCGTGTGAGCTTGCGTCACTAGCAATGATAATTTCTAGTTTGGGATCAAAGTGCGTCAGTGCTAGATCAGACGTTAATTTCTTTATGATCTCCTTAAAAGCTTTCTGACAATCTTCCGTCCAGTTCCATTTGTTATCTTTTTTCATGGGGAGTCCTCAATTTGTGCATGTTTTCAATGAATTCACCGTAATAGTTCGCTAGACCAAGAAAGCTTTGCAACTCTGTGACATTTTTCGGCTCAGGCATATTTTTTATTGCAGATGCCCTATCTTGATCTGGTTTTCTGCCACTTTCATTGATTATATGGCCTAGATACTTGATTTCTTCTTTTTTAAATCTCATTTTTTCAAAAATCCTGAATTCTTTTAAAGACTTCTTTAATATGCGTTGCGTGTTCTTCTACATTATCGCTTTTTATTAAAATGTCGTTTAAGTAAGCAGTAGCAAAGTTCTGTCCCATGAGCATGGTATCCATAATCTGTTGAAAGATTGACGGTGCTACTTTTATCCCAAATGGCATTCTGTTAAATTTGTAAAGTTCTTTGTGAGTATTGATACATAACATTTTTATACTTTCTTCTTCTACTGGAATCTTCGCTTAAAACAATCTTAGAAAATACCTTACCACCGTTAAGCTTGGTAAATATTTCCTCCGGGCTTGGCAATGGGTAGTGATAATCCTTGATAGCCTTATTTAACCAAGTCGAGAAATCTGCGCAAATACGTGTTTCTCCGGATTTTTTCTTTACGTAGACCACTGGTGCCGCCCATTCACTGAATTCGATTTTTGAAAGGATTCCAGTTTGTACCAATCTACCTCACGCCTTGTCAATTATTCTATGGTTGTGAAAGGCACGTTTCGCTTTTTTTTTTGAATACTGGCTGAACATTTTCCTTTAGTTCAATTTTAGCAGCAAACTTATTACATCGTCCCAAACCGCTCGAGAATACTTCGGGAAATTGCCTGTGTAGTTCTTCTTTTAATTTTGTAGCTTCTGACGGTTTGCAATCTATTTTCTTACAAAATGAGCTAATAGTTAAATCCCATACGTCAAATTTTTTGATCTAATCCGTGCCCACCAAATTTTCTGTATCTTTCATTACAAATATCTTCAATTTTTCGTTTTTCCATGGAATTTTACGCTTAGAATTACTTCTTCAAAATTGATACGCCTCCCTGTAACAGACTTGGTGATTTTCTGTGTATGCATCATGGTCGGTCTATTTAGCTTCCTCCATGTCCGTAAATTAATTATAGTTAGATCCGATCCTGAGTCTAACTGTAATTTTATCTTCTTATTTAAGATCTCGAGTTCCACCTATTTTCTTGTGTTTAATTTTGTCTTCGTAGTCCATTCTAGTAGTTCTTACCCTACTAGTGTGTTTTTTGTTTCTGCATTGATTCCAGTGGAATCCACCACATCGGTAACATGCAGATGAGGGGGGGGGTTATATTTGCTTTGAACTCTGTCATTAATCGCCTTATACCTTGTAATTTTTTCTTAATCATAACATTTTTTCTTTCGGGGGTGGGGTGGGGTGAAAAACGTAACTTTTTGTTCAGCTTACGTATGTGTGCAACTCCCGATTCCTCGATATCCTTAAAGTCTTTTTTTATACTCAAACATTTTTGGCAGTCTTCTGACAATTTTTGTAGTGTTAATCTAGGATCGTTTTGAAGCTTCGTGAGCATTCTTTTTCGCATTTCACTGTCCTTGTCTGAGACTAATCCCTGTACGAAAATAAGACACTTAAAATTGTCCGGAGTCAATTCTGCTAATTTAAAGTCATCGCATTGTTTATTCACAATTGCGGCGAACGTGTAGTAGTCCTCATTTTCGCTTTTTACGAGGTTGAGACATTTCCACCTTTTGTGAAAAAGTGAAGTCTTTAGACTGAAGAGCTCCGTAAGGCATGTAACTGCCTCGTCAAACGTCAAATCGTTTGTCTTTTTCGGTAGAATATAGTCCACAAATTTTGTGTACTCCTCTGTTCCCAATTTCCTGAGTAATAAATGTAGCTTCTTAGCTTCCGTCCAATTTTGGCAATCAATGTTGAAAATGTTTTCATGACGTCTGTAATAGTCCCCGAAATTTTTATCTTCTAGAGAGTATTTAAATGTTTCTATTGTGTTGCAAACTGCGTCTTAAGAAAAAGTCGCCTCTTTTTCGATATTCTTCTGTTGTGCGTTAACCATTACTTTTAATATTAATCCCTGGAGTTGCATTTGTCTTTCTTCATTTATTAGCTGTCTTTCCTCATTTCTTCTTATAAACTCAATCATTGCTTTTTGAAAATCTTCCATTTTTTAGGGAGTGACGACATTTTTCTTCTATCTCTTGTGTACGTTCTTTTATGTTCGTCGTTAATTTGTTGTTCTCTGTGTGAGTTCCTTCGAGTCATGTCGCCAAGTTGTTGTGGTCGACGTGACTCTCGAATTTCCATCGTCAAGTTATTGTGTTGGCGAGCGAAAAAAAAATTTTTCCCGTACGTGTTCGTACTCTTCGTCGTCAAGTTGTGTTGTCGAGAGAGAATTTTTTTAATTCCCCGTGAAGTGCGAAATCCTCGTCGCCAAGTTGTTGTGGATTCCGTGAATGGAATCCTGCACAAATAAATAAACAACGCCAGAAATGGAGATAGTAAAGTGAGTGTATTAAACGTAAGAATACATACTTGAAGTGAAAATTAGTAGTCCAGGAATGCGGGTTAGTAGAAAGTATATGTACAAATCTCTGTAAGTAAAGCCGTAATCATCTCTCAGTGGACTTTTGTATAACTCTCTGAGAACACCCTTTGTCTATCTCCGTATCTCTCATCCTGTCTCAACGTATCTCTACGTATCTCAACGTATCTAAACAGCAGGTATTCTCTCTGTCTGTATAAGTATACTTTGGAAGAAACCATCTTATGTTAAAAGGGGAGAACCCCACAACAATATGTTTCCATGAATGGATGATTGATGATTGATGATTGATAAGAAATGCAGAGATGTTGGTACAACCAAAATGAAGAAGTGATCAAATTTCCGAAAAAATTTATTGTCAATTTAAATTATTTTAATGGCTCCATCTCTCTAATTGCGCTGACATTGCCGGTATGCATACTTTAACTTTCACAGTTGCTCAACACCGACACTAATCTTTTTTTTTATCAGTTCACTTCAAGCAAAGTTATAATGCCGCTAAGACTCAAGGGGCGACTAGAAGTGAAATAGAAAAAAAAAACTGTAGAAGGGACTGGAGACTTAATCCTAAACACTAAACATGACATGAACCTCTACTCCTGTTCAATTGAACAAGGAGGAGTGTGAACGTGTCGATAGAAGCCTAACTATTCCTATTTTACCTTCTCTTTGGACTCATGTTGCGCTTCGCAACTCTGTCTTCTTGGTAACTCTGATCCCACAGTAGTGTCTGTAGATATTGCACCACTGATCTACTACGCAAGAACCCCTATTAACAGGATATCTTTTTGTTAGCAACGTACTAATTGACCTTAAGATTTTTATCGCAACGTTTCTTGAAATAACCTTTTTAATCTACCGGTTGAAAATTGTGCTATAATGTTTTCTTCCTGCATAAAAATCGGCACCGAAGCGTTCGTATCAGCATGAAAAAGATCAAGTGAAACCGCAATTTCTTCCCCCTACCTCTTCAGTCACTATGGTTCGCAGTAATCACTTTTTCTGCCTATACCTATGTGATAATTCGAATCTTTTATGAGCTCTCAATGACGCAAGGTTTCTATTTGCTGATAATCTGAGACACTGTATAGCCTCTCATAATTTTGATTCTAAGATTGCCGGCGGCTCTGGAAAAGGGTGTTGAACAAGAGTCTTCAATCCGTCCTCTATTCAATCAGTTTGAAGTATTGTTATTTACTGCTGATTTCATTAGGGGACAAATCTGAAAAACAACAGTTTAACTATATGGGTATGGGGTGAAAATGCTTATGGACGAACAATAAAAGACGGAAAATGTAGCACCGAATTTCGAAAAGTGAATCGTAAATCCTGTCACTTTATTTGAGCACGACTTACAATTTAGAAAAGAATTCGTCAGTGTGGTTATTTAGGAAGACCATTACTACCGCAGTGAGTTTAATTATCACTGGCGACACCACAACTGACTCCTTGCATCAGACTATACTCATCCCCGTGTGTGTGTGTGTGTGTGTGTGTGTGTGTGTGTGTGTGTGTACATATTCACATTCCAGTCAGTTCCGGCCAAGCTTTAATGTTAGTTCTTTTATATCCACGTTCAATCATTCATATTTATTCCGTTTATATCTTATCCACACCCTATAATATCCACATGAGAAAGAAGGAATAGATAGATAGATCGATCCTATACATCAAATAAATAGACAAATAGAGGCAGGTCAGGGAAATGTTTTGCTGGGTGGTGCAGCTTGCCAGAGAAAGTATAAAAGTAATTGATATCTATTTCAGTCACGAATATATCACCTGTCGTCATTCGTTAACGTCACTGGTTTGGGGCGGAACGCAAGAGGCGACGTTGGAAAACCAAAACCGAATAGGGACAGTTGACAAACAAAAATCAACAGATAATATCCGAAAAGGGGACAGAGAAAAAGCGCAAAGGATCCATTTTCTCATTGTTTGGGCCCTGCGTTGATCCATTCTTCCTTCACGTCAGCTAATCCAAGTAAGTTATTATGGCTAAATTTTTATCAGAAACAAAAAACTTTATCACAACACTTTTTCATATTTATTGATAATTAGTTGCTCTCTGTAAAGACAAAGTGACAGCAAGTTTCCTCCATACTTACAGCACTCTCTTCAATATTCTTGCTGATTTTACAAACATTGTTAGACTACGTACAATTCTTCATCACATTTCCAATCTTTCAAGTCTTGTTGTCATTCTTACTGATATTTGTTCAGTTTATGGGTTAAATAGCAGAGCAATGTGGGCTCTTTAGCTTGGGATGGGACCGCTTCTGCGAGAAGGATAAATCTGAATTTCAAACAAGTCTGTATTCCAAGCAAGTCTGAATTCCAAACCCTTGCGAAGGCAACGGGAAACTACTTTCTCAATAAGTCTTTCTGATGTCTCACCCCCCCCCAGTCTTTATCCATTTTTCCACTTTGACATCCACCTCGCATTGTGCCCTGATTATATTTTTCTAAAGCTAATCTTAACATAATTGTTAGTTTTGTGTTTTTTAGTTCAATTCCTTCAGGAAATTTTAACTTTAATTAAGTTAATTAAAAAAATAACTGTGAGCGAATGAATTATTGTGATTATCGTCTTCAGATTTTGCGCGAGTTTTGCAATGTCTGGCACATATGTCATTCTAAATTCCAATAATCCTGTCAAATGGAATAAAATAAAGATTTGTACTTTTTATAAAATATTCAGTAAAATATTAGATATTAGGCGTAGAAAACTGAAGAAAATTTTGAAAACAATCACTGTATACTAGAACCGGTATAAGGGTCTCGTGCCTCCATCCCCTGAATCTCTCTACTACATATACATTTTCATAAGGTCGTATTCATATAAAATGCAAATTTTATTGTAACCTAATTATGTACAATAGTGGATCATATACAATATAGGCGAACAATTCAATTCGAAAAACTCAAAATAAATACATCTAAATACAAATTAGAGACATGTTTTAATAGATCATTCCATTTTAAAGAAATCAACAATGTTTTGCGACATCATAAACTTCAGTTTATTCAATTTTGAAGTTGAATAATCTGACACATTCAACATTATGGATAAAAAGTAGTGATTTTTATATAGTGTTTTTTTTTTTGTTTTATTTTTAGACTGAGCAGTAGCAAAACAAATTCATGGATTTGGACGAATAAAAAGACCCCAGAATTACGTCAAAATCCACGAAAATGTTTCAACCATTAATAGTCAGTTGTGCTTAGATTTATTTGTAACGTATATAAATATAGGCGGAATAAAAGCATATTTTGATAAGATATCGATAGACAATACCCTCCCCGTAGTCCCCAATCAGGCATGCACCTCCGCCAATGTCGGGAGATTCGTGGGTAGTATACACCGGCCCTGGTGGCTACTAAATGCTTGTAAACTTTTATTTTATAAAGAAAACGTTAATATCTGATTATGTTTAAAATGGAGGTAAACGACATAATCAATGAATATAATAACAGTCAAGAAAACAAAGAAAATTAAAAAGAATCTTAGGATACTGTTGCGCGGAAGAAAACCCAAATTGTCAACGTGTATCAGTGTACTTCTACTACTGCTACAATTTGCTTTGATTATATCTCTCGTTCGTATGTTTTTCGTGTTGCATGAATTACTTTAGAAGCGAGAAGATATTTGCAGAATAGACTTATTAGACAATAAAATATACGAAAGGTGGAGTAATCAGTATTGTTTATATTCCTCGGTCGGTTTATACCGTAGACATATCTTGTTAATTTACGCTACGTTTTTTTTTTAAATAAAAATCGGATCACACGAAAAAGATTTACTAAACTCAGAAGTTTATTGGGTAATAAATATATTTACCAATTCCTAATTTTAGGAGAGAAAACATTGTTAATCATTTTCTAGAGTGATCTTTAAAATATGTGTAGCAAACGACAATGTTGTCGTCTGCTTTTTTGAAAGCTTGAATGGTAACTGAGATAATTGGTTAATAAATGCTAATGTGGAAATTTGAATGTGGAGTTCGTTTGATCCTCCATTTGTACAAAAAGGAGTTGATGTCTCTGTGAGTCTATTTTTGCAGAGAATTAAGATTTTAGTGATATTTATTAAATATATTAATTTTATCTACAACCTTTAACGCGGTTCCACAACAATTTATCTTTCATTCATTATTATCCCTAACCATAACCATAGGCCTAACCATAGTCCGGAAAAGCAGTGTTGACATCTTTAATGTTTCTTTATATACAATAGTAATATTGAAATGTTGAATATATTAATAAATGACACATTTCCAGTTAGTATTAACTAAGTGTATTGGAGAGAAATCCATTGTTGTTGATATCTAAGATATGAACTTACTCCCGAATATATTTTACGTCTGTAACGGAACATCCTTTCTCTGGTCTCCCCATCCAGGCGACTTTCCTCATCTCCACTTTGTATGAGGAAGGATTACGTGGAGCTAGTTGAACCGTCCTAAGGTCCGAAGTAAATAAGGAAGCTGCTTTCAGAACAGACAATCGACTAATATTCATAGAAACAATTACAGGATCCATTTTTTCAAAGTTAAAGAGTCAGTTTAACCCTTCTTAATTGGTGATGTTGTCTACATAACTAAAAGATTCTGTGGTCGTAAAAACGCGATTTCCCGTTGTTCTTCGGTGGATCCAAAGTAATATGTAACACCATCACCGAAAATGGTCCTAGCTCTGTATATTATGCTTTCACTATTGCACCAGCAATTTAATGGGTAGGTTAGAGTCTTGCGACGATTGCGTTGACTTTTAGTAAGATTATTTTTAGTGTTTTGTTTGGGAGCTTGCTTAATACATTATTGTTATATTGGGATATGAAATTATTAATACATTATTAATACATTATTATTATGCTGGGATGTGGAATTATCTATGTTTTTTGTGTTTTTTATATAAACACAATGATATATATACACAGATATATAAATATTTGTCCACGTGACCGAGTGTTTAGAACGTTCTTGACCATGAAATCCGAGTTCAAATCTCACAAGAGTCGATTTGTCAGCAAGAAAACTTCTTGATGTTATCGGTCTGGAGCTGACCGTCGGTGGTTGTTCTAGCACGAAATCACATGTCATCGTGCGTGCTGCCTTATTCAGACTGTTGATCACGCTAAATAATGCGCCCTCTCCTGGAAACTGTAACTATTGTCCACTCAGCATAGTTGCAAAAACGCAGGTGGGCTCTGTGGGTGTTGAACAAATACAAATGTTCCAGAGCAGGCGTCTGCAACAGCGATCAGCTAGCCGGCCCAGGAGACGGGCATCCTCTGATGCCTGTGACCAGCCACTATATATATTAATATATATACACAAACTCAAACACGTATACATAAATACATACACAAATGCACACACACAGATACACACATAGATAGATCTATCTATCTATCTATCTATCTATCTATCTATCTATCTATCTATCTATCTATCTATCTACGTAACCTTTTGATTTAACACTATGCGTAAAAAATGCTTTGAACAAATATTTAATCAAAATATCATGAGCAATAAAATGTTATAAAATTTAAAATTGAAAGTTTTTACATTTTCAATATCAAATTGAAAAAGTGCTGGGTCTTGGGGTGTTGCTTCAGAAAAAATCATTGTTTTAATATTGTTTAAAATGAAACAAACACTTAATAAGATAATGTATACATAAACTTGATAAAATCCCCAACGAAAAAATTATTAATAAATTGTTACAGTACAAGGTGGATCAATTCATATAAAAATGAAATCTATTCTTCTTGTTTTACTTTGAGCGAAAAGGTTAATAATTGTCTCCTTGAGCCTTTGATGACTGTTGATGAAATGTTTCTCTATTGAAAGCAATGCAAGTGCATTTAGTCTTCCAGGATTCATAGTGCTCCTTAGAAAATATTTTATTCTTTTCCGTGTTGAAATTTAGCGTTTTGGCTTTGATGTCGTCATGGGAATTGTCAAGAGGATTTTTATCAGTTTCGTAATTTCCCTAAGAACACTATCTCAATTAATTTGCTGTATTTATGCATATTATATCTACAATAGAATACTTTTTGTCCAGTTTCAAATTTTCTCTGTCAGTCAAGTGATATACTTCAGCGATTAGTATTATCTCTTCTGTTGGCAGTTCATTCTTAAAACTAGTGAAGCTTGTCTTGTTAAACAATTTAGCAGCTTCTAAGTGTTTAGTGGAAGAATATCTGTCTATTCTGCAGTCAAACACTTCCTTTACTTCTGAGATGAGTGTCTTTGAAGAATTCTCACAGTATTTCGAGTTTTTTATTTCTAAAATAGAAGTTTTGAAATCTGTTATATATTCATTGACCTTAAGCTCACTAATTTCTCGTGATTGCATTTGGTTGTAAATTACTTCAACATGAGGCATAATCTGATGAAAAAGTTCTAACCAAAACATGAAATTATCATCATCCAGGTATTGCAAAATTCCTATTGTTTCTACAATGGTTTGATCTGCATTTGATGTTGGCTGAATTTTAGTAAAGCATGTTTTTAAAGGTTTCAAATTCTCATGAATTCTTGTTCACGGACAGTATGTTAAATATCCAGCTTGTAGAGGATGGGTGTGGAATGATGACGTCCATATGCTTGTTGAGAATGAATATACTTTGTGGTAGTCTTGAGAAGAATGTTGGAATAGCCAAAATGTTAGAGAAAAATATTCTTGCATTTCGTATAATACTTACTGCATCACTCTTTATTAAATTAAGTTGATGTGCATAACAGTGAATGAAATATGCACTACTATAAACTGCTTTTATTTTTGCTTGAACTCCTCCTTTTTTGCCTTTTGTGACATTTGCACCCTTAAATGTCTGCAGTTTGGTTTTCTGGAATAAAGAATCCCTCAAAACGCTAAAATATTACTTCATTCAACACATACTGTAGAGTGTGATCTGAGACATCTGTTGGGTCATCAATCATGAGGGCTACAAACGAAACTTCCCAAATTTCTGTC